GTGTAGAAAATTTCATCGCGATGGGCCTCTCCTTTCGAAAGTTATCGTGTAAACGGCCGGACGGACGGCCGGACACACAGACCGATTTTAGTAGTGTACTCACTTTTTGAGTACACAAAAAGAACAAAAACTTTTAAGTTTTGCTGTACGTTTTTAATCCTTACTAAGACGATTCAGAAAAATCATAATAATGAGTTATTACAATAACTAGACAAGAGAAGATTTTAGTATCCATGGTACTTAATGAATGAAAATCAATAAATGTATATAAATGATGATAGATATTTATTGTCTCTTGATAAATTGCATCAGCAGCAACTCGATCAATAGCATAATTAATTGTGAGATGATTGATTACTTTATTTAATAAATCAGACGCAGAAGCTATTTATGAATATTCTAAAGAGGATCAATACGAAAAGTTCCAAGATAATAAAAATCGACCAAATTAAATTCAAATCTGTGAAGTAAAACAAAATTTTGAGAAACTAATACTCTAAAATAATCAAGACGAATGCAATGCTTGGATTGCAACGAATCCATTAACAATAGAATTTTTCTTATCAAATTATATTTCAAACAATTAAAAATACTTGTGCCATCTATAATCAACTTGAGATGCAATAAATGGTCGTATGAAGTGAGCACAATGTGTAAGGTCGAAGGAAGAAATGTTGAACACTTCACATAAGAATAGTGAACCAATCAAATTTTGAATACTCCTTTTGCCATCATTCAATCACTCCTCTGTACATCAATGCGACATCCTAATTTATTGATAAAATTCACAATTATTGTAAAAGATTATGCATAAAACACATGAAAAATGGCTCATCCACTTCCGCCAACATTGGACAAAGATAGACAGATAGAGAGTATTATAAAAAGAAAACATTGTACATAGCTTTATCGAAAGAAGCATGTCGTCTACATGATATTTTTGTCTTTTCCAGACACATTTTCATTTTAGAAGAAAAGAGAAATAACAAGACATCGAGCTGAATAATCAATAACGAATATATCTTGCACAAGTATATCATCATAATTGTTCATATTTGACAAGTCTCGATAGAAAATGTTTGTACAAAGAAGGATTGATTATTAAGCAAGATATTATCAGTGGAAACAAATAGACAAAAAGAGTTGATTGAACATTGACTGCACTCTTTGAATGAGTCATTAGCTAGATTCTTTGTCTACGGAGAACATACAGGCTGCTGAATGAAACATAAAAACGAAACTATGACGACTATTGTACAATAGAGAACATTAGTCAGGTACTCTTAACATTCTAATAGGACTCGAAAAATACCGCTTTGTATATGTACAAATAATCCGATGATGAAACTATTGCGAAGAAAAAAAGATGAAGAAGAAAATGCTAGTATTTTCTGATTATTATTAAAAATAATGAGAGAGATTTCAAACGTTTGCTCAACAGCAAATCTTCACATGTTTGATTGAGATCAACGACAATCATTGATTGTGAAGACAGTGTGATAACAACTATCATATCGAGTGAAGTCAATGTTGATTTGAAGTCCAACATCGACATGTATTTGATTAATCTTCGATTGAGCATTATTCGTGCTAGTAGTGTTGATGTCGAACACAAAGATCGTGTTGACTAATCAAAAAAATCAACCTTGTCCATTTGTCGTGTTTTATTTATAGTCAATGACATATCATTGGCATAATTTTAGATAATAGTCAAGACTATGTTCCACAAATAGTTATTGACAAGGAAGAGAGTAACATAATATTTTAATGGTTGCAATTAACAAAGAAATGCTACAGATATAGAGTGAGTGTGTAAGAATATCAACTAGAATGTACATACTCATATTTGACGATTAAAATAATGTAATTGTTGGCTACGTCGAGTCTAGATTAAGACACATTTTATTAGTGTTATCATTGCGAATATAATTATCTTTTAACTTTCTTCTCTTTTGAGCTTGAAACTAAATATATTGTTGTTTATATTATTTAAGAACTACATTTTATAGTAAAATCTTTCGTTCAAACTATCTCTAAGACGTATAGAGCATGTTATGAAAATAACCGGTGATTATGATCAGTATGAGTTTAGTATTGATATTTGTCTATGCTCGTTCCATGCAGAATTTGATCATTTCTAAAAAGTTAAAGACACATAGCGACTTGTGTAGAAGATTGACGATTAAATTGTAATCTCTTTCTCTCGTATTTTTCTCAAATAATATATATCAAACCATATCATAGTAAAAAATGTTCACACAAAAAGGAACAATGTTGAACACAATAGAAGAGTCATTACGTGTGAGGAAGGTTGACGAAATCATAGTTTAAAGCAATTCTCGTCCTTGAATGATGATTAAATTTTATTTATTTTTACGTTTCGGTACAACAAGGTGTCCTTCGACAGAAAATAGAAATGTTCAAAGTTTACATAAAATTATAAACTATATATCTTCTTTTTTTCTTTCGTTCTTCTATTTGAATAACATATATAATAGGGGCACGGATGAAGATGAAAGCTAAACTTTCCTTACCAGTATTACCGTCTTGTCCATGCCACTACGTAGTATACATGTTATTCAAATAGAAGAACGAAAGAAAAAAAGAAGATATATATTTTATAATTTTATGTAAACTTTGAACATTTCTATTTTCTGACGAAGAACACCTTGTTGTACCGAAACGTCAAAATAAATAAAATTTAATTATCAGACAAGGAAGAGAATTGCTTTAAACTATATAATAGAAGAGTCTTCATTATTTATTTTATTGTTTGACAAATTTAAAGCTTGACTAATATATTTAATTGAAATGAGAACAAATAAAAACTCGACAATATTTATATTCTCATTAGATTTCGATCACTTTGCTAAAGTTGTTTCTTTTTTCATTAGAGCTTTCATTTTTTCAAAGGTAAACTCTAGTAAATGAATGAAAGTATTGTTTTGCTAACTGTTAAATAATTGATAAGAAAACGTTTAGGTACATATCGAAAATAGATGGAAAAGAATATTGTTGTGAAATGTATATGTTGTTGAACATTTTAATTCGAATGAATTTCAACATAGAACTTAAACAATAAATCTTGACAAAGGCTTTATTTTTCATAAAGAATTTAATTAAAATCGTTTAAAATGTTCATTTTTTTAAAATAAAGATAAATATATTGAAATTTTTTATTGTAAATTGTTTTTTCAATGTTTTTTTTTCTATAATCTTTAATGATTTATTATAACAGTTTGATTTGATAAAATAGTTCATATTGATTTAACAATATAGGTTAAAAAATGTTAACAAATAAATCTTAACCGATAAAATAAATAAAATCAATAATTATTTTCATGAATGTTTTTTTTGATTATGTTAAATAAATATATTATTTTGATCTTTGTTGAGAATCAAGACGAAAAGCATCTTCAAAAGCTTTTAATTTATCTTCTGAACCACTAAGAAACCAAATTTGTTCAAAAGCATGACATTGTTCAGTATTTAATTCAGCATTTAATGGTTTTGATAAAACTTTTGCCCATAATTTGGCAATAGCTTGAATTTTATTTTGAAAAGCTCCACATCCAATAGGACCTAAAATAAGATAAGTATTTTCTCCATTATTTTCGCTATTTGCTTGTGCAGCAGCAATAATAGTTTCTAATTTTTTTTCCGTATTTATATCAATATCTTCAAGAGAATCTGGTTTCTTATGTAAACCATGTTCTCCTGTTAAATCATAACAAGCAGCAGCAACAATATCAACATTTCGATATTCGTTTGGTTGATCTGGTTTAAAAAATTGAACACGTTTTATATATAAACAACCAAATTCTGGTATGATAAAACCTCCATCAAATCGTTCATATTTAAAATCAAGTAAAGCCTTATATGCATTCGAATTATAACAAATTGTTTCTTCTTGTGTTGAAGCTCCATAAAGAAAAAGGCCTATTGATAAATCAGTATTATGTTATATTATATTATATTGATTGAAATAAAAAATATTTTACCTCCAGGCATTCTTTCATCTGCAAAATCTAAAATAATAATTTGTTTTTCAGATGGAATATCAAAAATAACATTTTGAATTCTTCCTTGTTTTGTATTTATTTGACCTTTATTGTGACGCTGAATAATAGGATATTTAGTCATATTATCTCTCGCATCACTATCAACAAAACCACATGATTCATAAGTTCCTTGTGAATAAGGTATATTAGCTATTTGTGCTGGATTAAAATATACTTTTAATTGTTCAGGTGAAAAAAAAACTTTCTTATTTGCAAATTGTCGATTTGCTTTAGCTATTGGATGAATTTTACGTGACTCATTGTCTAATTCCCAATATGGTACAAATGTGTCATCTTGATTTTCATCAAATTCTTTTTTATAAAGATCGATTTTTATAAATTTCTTTATTTCTTTTTTTAATTTTTCAAATTCTTTTAAATTGATATAAGTTGATAAATTTAATCCAGCTGATTGAAAGTTTAATAAATACTTGAGTGCTGCTTTACGGCCTCCATGCATATCAACACGATTTTTATCTTGTGATGCACATAAACGAACAAGACTGTTTATATCATCGGGATTTAATGATGCACAAGGTACATAAAGTTTTGATGACATTTTTTGTTATAAACTAATTACTAAATTCAATATAAATAATCGACGACAATCATCTATCGTTATGCTTCATAAACTACAAATCAAAACAACGAATTAAATAAAATAAAATTTTTTTATAAGAGAATTCCTGTAGATGACGTTGAATAATAGTCATTTTATTTTCTTATTTCATATATTAATCAAAAGAATTATTTATTGTCAACTACCCAGTGAAAAATATTCACTGATTTCAATCGGATTTTTCTGCAACAAAATCAAAATTAAAATCGATTGATAATTTTGATTATTGTTGATCATGACTTAACTATTACTTGATATTGTTACTTATCCCGTACGAAATTTTCTAATTGAGACCGGATTATTCTGCAGCAAAATCAAGATTATAAATCGATTAATAATTTCGATTTTGTTGCATAATAATCCGACCTTAATCAGAAAATTTCACACGGAATAAGTAACAATATCAAGTAATAGTTAAGTCATGATCAACGATAATCAAAATTATAAATCGATTTTAATTTTGATTTTGTTGCAGAAAAATCCGATTGAAATCAGTGAATATTTTTCACTGGGTAATATTAAAACTCATCTTCAATTCAGTTTTTTTATTATTCAATTCTTTGATTAGAATCGAAACACAATAGACATTTATATTATTAAACCTGCCACTATAATTCTTAACACAACATGATACACGCACACAGAAAGCAATATTCACTTGTTAAATTGTTTAATAGTTATTTAATAAGTAATTTCAACTTTCAACGTTGATACAACTGAACAGTTAAACCGATATGCTTATCTGCTGCTCATTCGATAAATTAAACAAATCTGAAGAGATATCATAAGACTTGATTAGATTTCAAATACAAAAGGCTTTGGTATTTATCCTTGGGTAACTATTCAATGTGAATAGAAGCCATCGTTAAAGGATCTCCGGGAAAAGGTGAGGGTGAGTATGTCAAACATTTATGAACATTCAGACGCTTCTCTTACGAATTTGTTCGGTTTTTTCCACAAATTTTTAGGTAAAGTTGATTTTAAAAGCATTTTAAAAATATTTCATAAATGAATAGTACAGTGTCTCATTTATAAATAAATGAAACATTTTAAGTAAAAAAATTAATGTTTTACTTTTTGTCTGATACTTGATCATAATGAATGATTTCACTATCGGATTTCACGAGATACTTTCGAAAAAGCTCTCGAATATATACAGGGATTCCAAATGATCTGATCAGCCGCTTTTTACTAAACATTGACTGACCAAATTTGTCAAAATCTTATTAACATTATTAGGATTTAATCTGATCAATGTTAAACAGTATCTGACTACAGAAAAAGAAGAAATAAAAATTGGTTTTACCGCCAACGTAACACGTTTTAGATTATGGAATATTAGGTCGTGTTACCGCCTGGTTAAACTTGAACTAATTTTTCGTCAGTTAAAAGGGGATTGAACCAAAGTGGCAGCACTGAATGAAATTAGGGTATCTGATTCAGATGCATGTGCTGTGGATGGATATACATTCATTCATTCTGAATCATTTTCTCAGTTGGTATCAGCATCTGCATACTGCACAGTTGTATGTCTGGACCTTGAAGCAGCTCGAGTCTAGAAGAATTCCGGTTCCCATTGAGAAGCAGTTAATTCAAGAACTGATGTAGTTTGTATCGAATGTCGATCGATGCCAATCACCATCATGGCTATTTATGCACCTCTAAATCCTTGAATAAATTAAAAGATGACATTGACGCCTGTGATGAGTTCTCTAATTACAACTCTTCAACCAACAATCAATAAAACTCATAAGAATGATAAAATTCTAATAATGAGAAATTTTAATATACGAGTTGGAGTGGAACACACCTATACAGTTGAAAAAACAGTCGGTGAATATGCTATTGGCAAATAGAATTAAAACAATCACCCATTGAATCGATCTCTACCTATTCAATAGCTTTACAGTTACTAATACGTTCTATCCACATGAATCAGTTTATCAAGCAATATGGATGATTCAAAAACCCAACAATGACACATAGTATATTATGTGCTAGTTAATCGTATATTCAAGACTAGTGTCCAAGATGTAAGTGTTCATAGAAGTACTATTGATAGTATTGGAACAGATCATTATTTTATTACTAGCTAAAATTCTTCTACACGTAAAATGTCGCCAAAAAAGGAAAGAAAGTTTGGCTAATATTAGATCATTCAAAATTGGTGTATAGTGATGCATTTTCAGCTTTCAGAACCAATTTAGCGAAAGACTACCAAGCCATGCAACGAGTAGATGGAAACTGATTGGTGAACGAAAAATTCACGATATTTGCTAATTGTGTGCGTGAACATGGCGAATACTATTTGGAAAACAGTAAAAACATTGAAAAAGTTTATAAAGAATGATTCACATCGGAACTGAAGGGATGTGGGTGTGGGTGTAGTTCTTCTTTTCACCCACATCCGCACCTACATCCACACTCACATCCTAGTACAAGAAACAACTTCGTTTAACCATCATTGAAGGCAAAGAACGACAGTTTTGTGTCGAAGCTGAATACAAGATTACTCTCTATATATTTCTGCTAGCTTTGTGCTTTAATGGAAAGAGACAGAAAAATATCAATGAAAATGTATGAACTTTATTTAAACTATTTTAGCTATGTCGATGTTGCGGTTTGTATCCATATATGTCAAACTTGAAACTTGAATTCAATTGAAGTTTCAACTTTCAAGTTTCAACTTTCAAGCCTCAAATGAGCAGCACTTTTGCAGAATCACCACTAACCCGCATTCTCACACACATCATCGTAGCTGGTGAGGGTGCGGCGAAAGGACTGGTCAGAAAAGGACTGGCCACGAAACGACACACATCACATCGCACCTGGTGAGGGTACTGCGAAAGGACTGACTACGAAACGACACACGTCACATCGCACCTGCTGAGGATGCTGCGAAAGGACTGGCCAGAAAAGGACCCGCCGCGAAACGACTTGAAAGTTGAAGCTTGAAAGTTGGAAGTTGGAAGTTGAAACTTGAAACTTGAAATTTGAAATTTCAGTTGAAAGTTGAAATTTCAATTGAATTCAAGTTTCAAGTTCGACACTACTGATTTTTTAGAGTGTATAGCATACTTAGGCGGTCATTTTCAAAATATATTTCTTTTGGCTTCCTGTTTAATGATAGTATACGAATTGTACGATATCTATTGCTACACACATTGTCTAATAGAATGATTATTTTGTTTCGACTAAATGATACGGTACCGCTAGCTTTACAGTCTTAGTTTATCTTAATTGCTTGTCTTTTGATTTTTATATCTTGAAGAGACAAAATTTTTAGTTCAAACTAAACTCAGATATGCATGATCATACTCTTTCTTTAGATCTTCAATGGCATCATTTAACATTAAAACTGAAGTCGTGACCTATTTAATTACACATTATAAAATTCAAGAAACAAATGCAAATACAATTTATAACGAAGCATTTGAATTGTATCATCATTTATAAACATTGGTCGATTTTGCTCCATTACAATCAATTGACGACAAAATTTTAAGTGCATTAGTTTCAATTATTCAAGAAAATTTTGAACTGAATGACTCAAATAAGTAAGTATTATTAATTTATGTTTAGGATTCCAGCAGAGGAGTAAGCACTTAGCAAGACTAAACCTGCTAATTGGCTTTGACGAGCAGGGCCAAAAGTGAAAGTTGCGTTTTGATCTACCGCTCTAAGATTATCAAAAGTTACTACGCTCACAGGCAATTCTATTTTTTTGATGAATCTTTGCTACTTCCATAAGGAAATATCATATTATATTTATGGTTACATTATATGTGGAATCTTATATTTCCTAATTTTTGAGTTTCTCGATTTATTAATAAATCGAATTAAACAAACGATCCCTGGTCATATGCAGGGTGTTCCATAAATAGTAGTGCAATAAAACAAATTCAAATCTCTCCACTCAAGTTCAATCAAATGGACTGATGTTTTGACTAGTCGCAGAACTTCATTCAAGTTTTTTTTCATACGCATAATGTAAGCAGATACTTCTGTTAAGTATTATTGTTGATCTCACTAAAGAAACTTCATCTGTTATCATGCAAGAAAAATACGTGGGAAGCGTTCAATCGATAATTTTTAGCTATCACCTAAGAGAACAGCAAGAAGAAATCAAAAGAAAGTCTATGAACGATACAACATCGATGCAAATAATGGAAATTCTCAGTAGTAAGTTTAAAAATCAACGACTACAATATCTCGTATTTTCAAACATAGAGTACTGTTTTTCTTCGGGAAAACTGGTGATTCGGTGACCCAAGAGATTAATTGTTTGTTTTAGTTTTGTGACCCGAATTGTAGTATTTAAGCAGGCTAGTTCTGAAGTTTTGATCTATTCGTATCAATGTTGTACCATTCATAAAGTCTGTTTTAATTTCTTGCTGTTATATTAGGTGATAACTAAAAATTATCGATTGAATGCTTCACGTGTATTTTTTGTTACATGATAACAGATAAAATTTCTTTAGTGAGGTCAACAATAAAACTTAATAGAATTATTGGCGTATATTATCCGTATTAAAAACAAATTTCGAATAAGGTTCTGCCACTATTCAAAACATCATCCCATTTGATTGAACTGGAGTGGAGATATTGAAAGTTTTTATCGTTGTGCTATTTATGGAATACTTTGTATTATTTTTTTTATCTCTACTATAGTACATAGGAAGAGAAAACTCTTCTTTACAAGACATTCATTCATTCTTGTTAGTGATCACGTTGGCCCACAGTATCAATGTTATTTATCTCTTTGTTGTGACAATATAGAGAGGAACAGCAATAACTATTCATTACATCGTTCTTCATTCTAACGATACTTATCCTTCGCATTTATTGCTAAACAGATGTTCATAAAAAATTCTAATTCGTTAATCCATTTCTTATATCCTCCTGCGCAAAATAAACGGAGCATCTAATTTTTCGATTAA